ATTGCATTTGCTTGTGTTTACATTCATGTGTAGTGAGTAGTTTCCTTTAGGGTCAAAGATGGGATAGATTAGAGGGATTTTTATGCTTAATCCTTCTTGCTTATGTTCTTAATCTAGAAATCTCTCTCTTTTGGACAAACCTTAAGGCTACATGACCACTATCCCTGGCTTGTATGTCCATAGACGATTCTCCACATGGAAGTGATGGAAATCGTTGGAAAGGTCCACTAAGAGCTCCAATAACTCTTGCTCTCGAAATGGAGTTCATAGGGGTTGGATGGATTAGTTTGAGCAATGATCCTATGGCCTCCAAGGCTTGATTCTCACTGGCTAACCCCCTGTTTCTCAATAGCCGGCCGATCGTCCCGACCGACCGTCCAACGGTCGGTCGACCCGAAGCCCGTTTTGAAGCCCGTTTCACACGTTTTCACGGCCCGGCTTAACCTAATGCCGCCTCTGAAGACCTAGCACTATATATATACAACTTTTTAGCCTCTTGAGAAAGAGAGCCGCCCTTGTATCACGATTTCATACTTAGAGTTTTATGCAATCATGTTTTCTTCATCTCTTATGTGTTATTGCTTTGATCATGTCTGAGTAATCCACTAGTTAGGTTGCTAGGGTTACTAATCAATGAGTTGCTTGCATGATCTTTGATTTCGATGTTTAGCTAGGGATTATCTTAGAGTCTTTGTCTCGTCTTGTGCACTTAACTAATGCTGATTGCTTTACCGCGCATCTAGTAATCCGATCTTAGGTTGATTTGAGCCTCGACAGTGTTGTATCATTCGCCGGACATATTCTTTGACAAGCTAGGTTTCTTAGACTGCGAAAGTTGATCTTACTATAACTAGTGAACTGTATCAGAACCTATTCATTCTAAAGCTTGATTTAATCACCTAGGGACATACCAAAAGTTTAGCGACTAGGTAGATTAACAAAGGAGCCGGAGCCTCGAAAGTGGAATGGTTTTATATTCGTGATCTGTGTTCTAGACGGTTCTTAATATCCCAATATCCCTAATCAATTCATCTATCATTGTTTCATTGATCATTGCTTGCTTCTCTGCGATTAGCCCCTGTTGACCTAGCGCTTCTTCCTTATTGATTTACAACCTCGTTTACTTGCTAGTTCTGTTCACCATTACAACCTCAATCATACTTTTGTTTTAGCTTGATCCAAAATCCATAGTTTCAAAGTGTACTCAATAGCCAGTCCTTGTGTTCGATACCCATACTTCCGCGATCTGTGCACTTGCAGAGGTCTAAGAGTTTGGTAAAACCTGACTCACATCAAGTTTTTGGCGCCGTTGCCGGGGACTGCAGCAGTACCTTTGAACTCGACTAGGATCTAGTCTAGAACCTTTTCCTGTTTTGCTTTTCTTTTGCTTTTGAATTTTCAGTTTTTGATTTCTTTTCTTTGATTTTTGCTTTTGCTTTTGTTTTTCCCTTTTGATTTAGTTTGTTTCCTAGACTCTTTTCAGGTGCATGACTAGGAGGTCCAACAAGGACAACCTAGTTGAACATCCAGAGATAGACAAGCTTGAGAAGCACTTAGGAAGCAAAAAGCCCAAGAGATGGCCGACGAAGCAGCTCGCGCTCACGCCGCTGAAGTGGCGCGCTAATGAAGAAGGAAGAGATCCACCTCCTCCTTCCTAATCCACAAGATCCTGCTGGAGATGTGAATGTGCAACCTCAAGCTGCAAACAATCGGAGACTATGACTCTGCCGATGCTTTCTTCATGGATAGAAACCCTATCCATCCACCACTTCCTGCAAGGAATGACTATGAGATCAAGCCTCAGATCATAGCATTGGTTAGACAGAACCAATTCAATGGCCTTCCAGCTGAGCATCCCTCTTGATCACATAGAAAACTTTGAAGAGATTTGCAGCACTACTAAGATCCAATGGAGTCTCAGCTGACTACCTTGAAGTGCAAGCTCTTTTCATTCTCTCTTGGCGACAAAGCTTCAAGATGGTTGAAGTCTCTGCCAGCTCACTCCATTACCACTTGGGATGAGTACAAGGCCGCTTTCATCAACCACTTCTACACCAAGCAAAGATCAGTTTCTGTAAGGAACAAGATCTCCAACTTTCGCCAAGCCAACAATGAATCTTTCTATGAGGCGCTAGACCGATTCAAGGAGTACATTAGGGACTGCCCTAATCATGGTTTCAATGAGGGAAACCTATGGAACATCTTCTATCGTGGCATAGACCACAAGTACAAGCTTTCATTGGATACTGCAAGCAATGGAAACTTCATGACCAAGACTTGATGAAGCTAAGGTTCTTATTGAGAATCTTGCAGCTAGTGATTGTAACAACTGTCCTGATTATGATCGCTCAAGCCGCACCACTACTAGCTCCCCTGATTTTTCAAATGACTGAACTCAAGAACATGATGGCTCAAGTTCTTAAGGGACAGCTCAAGCATATCAATGCAATAGAAGGGATGAGTGATGCGAATGAAGACCCATCAAGAGAATGCATGGGAGATTTCTCTAATGAAGCCAATGAAGAAGATGTGAACTACATTGGAAACTGTGGGAACAAGGGATACAATCCAAGCTATCGCCCAAACTCCAACATGTCTTATAGAAACCCCAATGTGGAGAACCCTCAAGACCAAGTGTATCCTCCAAGATATCCACAGCAGCAAAGACCTCCTTACCAATCTCAAGGAAGTCAATTTCAACCAAGACAAGTATATGATCAGCGAGCATCATATCCACCCAAGGAGCCATATGCTTCTTTACCAAATCAAGCTCCTCCAAACCAACAAGGTGGAAGGTTTGAAGAAATCCTCCAACAGATCATGGATGGCCAGAAAAGGAAAAGCAAAGAGATGTATGAGAAGATGGACACCTTGTTCAGCAATCTCAACACCAAGTATGATGCATGCCACTCAAGCAAGGAGTAAGACTAAGGCACTAATAAACTAGAAATAGGTCCTTTTCTCTACTGCAAATTAACAGTGATGAAGATTGTAATATAAAGGATTCGAAATCCAGAGGACCAGCGTTACACTGTGAAACTAGGAGATTTAAAACAGAGCTAAGACAAAGATGATTGGTTTTAGTAACAGGTAACGAATGTAAACGTTGATGTAATTCAATTAAACAGGGACTAGACCAAGGCAATTCGCAGAGATTCACAGTTAACAACCGAACAACTATTCAGGGCACAGATGATGAACAGGTCTCGAACTCAAACAAAATATGTCAATTCACTTTCGCGATAATGATAACTTTATCTAACAACCTAGATGTCTAAACTGTCGTTTGAATCTAGCAGTTGATGACAAGCAATGCTCAGGTTCGATAAGTTCACGAATCGCCTTAGCATCAACTTTCGCAGGCTAAGGACGATTCGCTCACCACAGTTCGTTCTAACAACCTATTGCACTTTTGATGAACAGGTAATCTGAGATCAGAGATCGAATGATCAGATCGATCTAAGCAGTAATGCAACAATGGCGAAGACAGTATTAAAGCCCTATCTGTATTCAGTCAAGTTAACACATGAATCCCTTTGAAAGCCTAGATCTAGCAGGGTGACTACTCAGACATAACGAAACAGCAAACAATGACTGAAACTGAATTCATTGAAATCAAAGTATGAAATAATAGAAAAACAAGGGTTCAGAAATCTTCTCCAAACTGTGAAAAACAGAGGTTCGATCTCTTCTCCCTCGGAAACAATGAAAACAGTAAAACTCTGAAAAACGGCGTAGCCTAAACAATGGCTAAAGATAGGTCTAAATAGCTCCGGGGTCGACTTGGTTCAATCCGGTTCGCTGTGGTTCGATCGAGTCGGTTTGCACCAAGTAGATCGAACGGCTGTGATATCATCTGAGCGGGATTGATCGAACGGCTGAGATAGAACGGGATCGATCGAGCTGCTTGTCTGCATGGGATCGATCGACTCTTCGCATGGGATCGATCGAGCAGTCTCCTTGCGCATTCGATCGAGCTGTTCGCTGCATGTCGATCGAGCTTTGGTCGCACGGGTCGATCGACCTGTGACTCGATCGAGCTCCTTTCGCTCCGTTTCTGCCTGCTTTCTCCTGTGGTCCATGTGACCAAAGCTCTCCCTGTACGTCTTTAGACCTGAAAAGACTCGATAAAGACTAGAAAGACTCGATAAAACTCGTGAAAACAAGTGTTAGAATGCGTCAAATACGCAAAATATCAGGCACCTACACCAAAACCGCCCAAGGGATCATCCAAGATTGAAGATGAGGCCAAGACCTAGAAGGAAGGTGAGAAAGCCTCGATCTGGCCGCAACATGAATCTTCTCTTCCCAAAGGAACTTATTGATGAGAATCTAGAAGGATTCAAGGAGAAAGTTACAAGAACTCTACAACTTTTTCCTAAGGCAATTGTGCAAGGGACATTCATGGAGAGATTGTCTATCCAGCTGTGAATCGCCCACCAGATACTCATTTTGAGGAGAAAAGACTTGGAGGATTTAGGATGCCTCTAATCTCCATCTTCTCTTGAGCGCCAAGCCTTATAGTCAAGCTAAAGACTTAAAACAAGCACTGCATGGGAGGCAACCCATGAGGTACTTTTACTTTTCTTTCTTTAAATTTCTTAGTTTTTGTTTTGTTTTGTGTTTTCTTTGTTTTAAGATAGGATAGAAGGAGAAAAAGTGTGAAAAACACAATCCGGGTCGAAAACATCGGCCGCGGACGCGCAAAAGAAATTCTGGCCGAGAAATGTCCTATCGGTCGCAGCCATGCTCGGCCGGATCCTTCTATCGAGCAGTACGCACGGACAGGAAGGGAACAGGCCGCGCTCGGCCGAATAGGGAATCGGAACGGACCGACCGTGCCGGTCGATCCGGGAAACATACGTTCTCCCTCGGCCGATTTCACGTCCGTCTGATACTTGGCCGACCAAACCGCACGATCGGGACGAAAATCTATCGGCCATCGGCCAACTTTTCTCGGCCAAGGTAAGTCCCCTTTTTCATTAAATTCAAACCGGTTTTAACCAATCCTAAACCGATTTAAACCGATTTTCAAGCTAAATTCGAATTTGAAAAGGAAATATTAATTGGAATTTGAGCTTTATAACTTTACCTTTCCCTTGAAAAGAACAAGAACCTCTCTTGCTTCTTCTCCAAAACCCTAAACTCCATTAGAGGAACTCTAAAAGCTTTGATTTCAAAACTTTTACTGTTCATAACTCTAAACTTGGATTTGCTTGCTTTCCTCTCATATTCACTTTTCAATACACAAGGTATGTCTTCTAACTCTAAATCTCATGTTTCTTGTTTGGTCTAAACTCTTGTCTAACTTGAAATTATCATCTTATGAGTCTTGTAATGAACTTAGCTAGGTGGAACCTAGGTGGTTTAGAGTTATTTAGAGTTTAATTTCACAATTGAATAGTTTTTCACAAAACTTATTGGGCATTCCAAACCCCTTATTCAAAAGTGAAATTGCTTAGTCATGCTTCAATTCATTAGTTTATCTAGTGATTACTTGGATTAGAAACTCAATTTCTCTTGATTTGCTAAAAATTTCGATTTTGCACCATAATCTTGAGATGAACAGTAAAATCCGAAATTAACTTTGAAAAGTGAAATTTCCATTTTGTTTCTTTGTTATTGATTAAGCCTTGAGTTGTTCATTATCCATATCATTATTACAACTCAATTAGCTTATCTTTCTTTGCATTAATCACAAACTCATGTCTTCTTCCCAAGAATTTGCTCTTGTAGGTACCCAATGGCAAGACAAAAGGAAGTGAGATATGAAGAAGAAGAAGATCCATTCATGCAACCACCAAGAAACAAATCAAGCTAGGGAGTAGCTCCAATGCAAGAGCAGCAAATACCAACTTCACCACATTCCATTGATGCAAATCAAGAACATGTGGAGAGTCCAAGAGGAGAAGATGATTGGGCACTTGTAACCTTTGTTGGAGAAAAATCCAAGACCCAAGAAATACAAGAAGGCAATGGAGAAGGTGAACATCGAACCTTGTGTGAAGATGGACACCCAACCCTTGATCTTCTCAAGATAAGAGATGATGTCACATGGTATCTAAGGAAGCTTGGCTTGAGCAAGCTCTTCAAGATAGAATGCAGTGAGTACTCAATGCTCACCAAGGAGTTCCTCTCCACAGTAGCTCTTGCCTTTCCCAACAACAACAATGGAGACCAACCAGCTGGTGATGGACTCCTACTCTTCAAGATAGGCGATGCCAATGGGCGCATCTCATCTCAGCTCTATGCCAACTCTTTGGACTTCCCAATGAGACAGCACATGACTTCAAGGAGAACTCAAAGAGGAAACAAGCTGCCTTTGCTGATTGGACACACTTTGCCAATGAACCATTCTTGCCTTCAAGATCAAAGGTGTCTAGAATCACTCATCCAGCCATTCGCTATGTGCACCGCCTCATCTCAACCACTTTCAATGCAAACAAGAAGCCAACAAAGTCACAACTGATGAGTTCTACATCCTCACCACGCCATTCATCAAGCATGAGTACAAGGCCAACCTTGGTCTTTTGTTTGCCAAGACACTCATCAATGTGAGGAATCTAGCTCAAGACTTGGAAGGCAACAAGAAGCTTTGTGTCGATTTGGGAGACTTATCACAGCCATAGTGCAACATGTGGGGATTGACATTCCCAACTATGAGCCACTACCCAAGCCAATCCCTTTGGATCTCCATGCCCTTCAGCAAATCCACTTCCTAAACCGTTGGACTCAAAACCCAACCAAGTTTTGCTATGAGTTTCCAATTGGACCAACCAACACTTCGCTTGTCTTGCTGCCACATGAGACATCCCAAGCCTACGCTCAGGTGTTGTCACTTTCCAGCCCAAGGAGGAAGACTTCTATCCATCAAGAGAGAAACCATCACTCCCCATCCTCACATTCGCACAGTCAAGCTCAACGCCGCCACCAAGAACGCCATGTTCTCAGCACTGGCATGGCCGCGAATCAAGCCCTAGACCGTGTGAGCAAGCTGGAGAAGATGTGGAGTGCCAATCACGCTTCATCTCACGCCTTGTTCGTGTTCGCCACATTGCACCGGAGAGACTCTTTCGCCCTTCTCTCACCGCTAGAGAACCATATGAGCCTGACCTTGGTGAGTTCTCACTAGACTCAGAGCTTGGTTCAGAAGGCGATGACCCCATAGAAGAGGAAGAGAGTTCTTCTCACCGCCACACATAGTCATCTCAAGTGGTACTTAGTGCAATGGACACTTACAAATCTCCATTTTCTATCCCTATCTATTTTAATGAATTTCTTTTATTTTTCTTTTACTTTGAATATTACCTCTCACCTTAATGTGATTTGCTTTCACCGGGACGGTGCAAGTTAAGTCTGGGGGGAGTTTTATTGTGTACTAATGCATTTTTCTTTCTTTTCTTATGTTTTATTCTTTTTTCATGTTTTCTTGTTTTATTGAGTCAAAACCAGTCCGGAAATTATGAACTTGCTTTGAGAATTTGATAGTGTTGTGCTAACAATCATGACCCTAGAGCAGACATCAGCTAAAGGCACAAGCCTAACAGAAGCTCTTACAGTGGATCGACATGCTAGCTCAGCAAAATTTCTAAGGTAACCAAGCAATCTAGAGTTAACCTCACCCTTAATCAATCTTAATAACTCTTGTCAAGGGGATTGGCATACATGTCGACAGTTCCTTGCTTGATTTTCAATAAGATTTGTCTAACCTTAAAGAGTTCTCCTCTCTCTCCCATCCCAAATGGTAAGAAATATTTATGAGAAAAGCTCAAAGAGCACAAGGAAAACAAGTAAGCATGAGGAATGCATATGTCTGTACCTTCATGTCTTATGGAATACCTTAGTCAAACAAGGAACAAGCTAAAGACTTATCCTGTGGTTGAAGAGGGTCAATAGAAAAAATAAAATGATACCCTAGAAAAGTAGGGAGAAATTGACCTTTCAAAGTTCTGATGTGAGAAAGAGAGAGGAAAAGAACTCATTGCACTTCAAAGACAATCTTGGAGAAGATCAAGTGGGTAAGAACAAGTTAATTGATCGATATTCCCTTGATAAAGAACTCACGCTTTAAATTTATGCAAGAGGTTAGCAATAGAGAGTTTGGATTGCTGGATGAGACTAGTTGGTTGGTATTGTTCGCTAAACTTGCAGGGTGTATGTGAAGCTAACCTTATGTTGTCTATGTTCTTAGTGGAATACAGGAAAGGAACCCTTCACAGGATATTCAAAGAGCAAGGGAGTTTCCACGTTTTCAAACCTCTTTCACGGATTTAGATTTTGTTTGCTTGGGGACAAGCAAAGATCTAAGTCTGGGGGAGTTGATATACCTCTATTTTACATGCTTTTTATACTATTTTAGTATGTTTTCTAATGGTTTTTGGCAGGTTTTCTATCTAAAAAGGTAGTTTTATTGGATTTATAGTACTAGAGTCTAAACAGGTGAAATGATGCATTTTGGAGCAAAACCATAGGATTTGCACTTCAAGCCGCTCCATACCAAGCATCAACTTTAAGAGGGCCCAGAAAAAGATCTACTCAATGGATTTCATCAAGACCAGTTCCCTGCGTGCTCTGAGTGAGTTAACTTTCCAACGCAATTGGATTGGCATCATTTGGATGAGTAGAAATGAAGTTATGATCAAATTAGTGAAGACTGGTCCAGACGGCCTTATCGAGCATTCGCGTCCAAACCGCGCACCGGCCGATCGAGGAACGAACATACCGCGATCGTCCCGCGCACAACATCCGCGCCATCCCGCCAAGTCCACGGCCGAGCTCACGTACCGACCCGGGAAGCATCGTCCCGCGGTCGAGCCATTTCAGCCTCGCCACCACAAGCGCACGACCGCGCGCGCGAACCGGGAAGCAGTCTCGCGGCCGCGCGGCACATCACGTCCGCGGCCGATCCATCCGTCCGACAGGAAGGCTTCGTCCCACGTCCGGCCAAGAATCATCGGCCAAACATCCATCCGTCCGACCCGTCGGCCGAACGCGAAAACTCTCGGCCACGATCGTTCCGACCGTGCCGATAGCCGACCACGACCCGATGCCGGCCGATCGTCCCGACCGACCGTCCGAACGGTCCGGTCGACCCGAAGCCCGTTTTGAAGCCCGTTTCACACGTTTTCACGGCCCGGCTTGACCTAATGCCGCCTCTGAAGACCTAGCACTATAAATACAACTTTTTAGCCTCTTGAGAGAGAGAGCCGCTTGTATCACGATTTTCATACTTAGAGTTTTTGCAATCATGTTTTCTTCATCTTTATGTGTTATTGCTTTGATCATGTCTGAGTAATCCACTAGTTAGGTTGCTAGGGTTACTAATCAATGAGTTGCTTGCATGATCTTTGATTTCGATGTTTAGCTAGGGATTATCTTAGAGTCTTTGTCTCGTCTTGTGCACTTAACTAATGCTGATTGCTTTACCGCGCATCTAGTAATCCGATCTTAGGTTGATTTGAGCCTCGAAAGTGTTGTATCATTCGCCGGACATATTCTTTGACAAGCTAGGTTTCTTAGACTGCGAAAGTTGATTTACTATAACCTAGTGAACTGTATCAGAACCTGCTCGATCTAATGCTTGATTTAATCACCTAGGGACATACCAAAAGTTTAGCGACTAGGTAGATTAACAAAGGAACCGGAGCCTCGAAAGTGGAATGGTTTTATATTCGTGATCTGTGTTCTAGACGGTTTTAATATCCCAATATCCCTACATCAATTCATCTATCATTGTTTCATTGATCATTGCTTGCTTCTCTGCGATTAGCCCCTGTTGACCTAGCGCTTCTTTGATGTACTTGCATTTTGCATAGTTTTAGTACATCTTTTACGAATCTTTTGCATGGTTTTAGTGTCCATTAGCATCATATCTTGTTCTTTTTCCCTTCTTATGCATTCATAGTAGTTTTAGGTTGCATTTGCATACATATGCATGTTTGGTCCTTTGAAATCGGTCTTTTGGAGCATTTTGGAGCATATGGTATGAGAGGAGTAAGGACTTGGTGCATGGACGCAGCTCAACTGGATACGACAAGGAAGAAGGAGGAAGTCATCTTGAAGACCAGCTTGACCATCCGGTCGAGTTCCTGGCTTTTAGTCTTTAAATACAAGAGGATTTAGGTTTAGGGTCAAAGGCAAGTCAAGGAGGAAGCAACATTTTTTGGGTTTGACTTTGACTACTCAGCTCGATCGAGTTGAAGCTTGGCCGGTCGAGTTGGTGAACTCGACCGGATGGTCGAGTAGGTGGTCGAGCTGGTCTTCAAGATGGCTTCCTCCTTCTTCCTTTGCGTATCCAGTTGAGCTGCGTCCATGCACCAAGTCTTTCCTTGCTCCTCACGTCCCATATGCTCCAAAATGCTCCAAAAGACCTATTCCAAGGACCAAACATGCATGTATGTATGCAAATGCAACCTAAAACTACATGAATGCATAAGAAGAGAAAAGGAACAAGATATGATGCAAATGGAGCTAAAACTATGCAAAAGATGCATAAAAGATGTGCTAAAACTATGTAAAATGCAAGTACATCAACACCCCCAAACTTGAACTTTGCTTGCCCTCAAGCAAACAAATAGAACAAGAAAGAGATGAGGTTTGAAAACAAATTGATTCAACACTTAAAAACATGTCCTCAAAAGCGATTTGCTAAATGTCCAACTTAGAGATTCTAGAATGCAACAAGGTGAGAGATATTCATTAAGATTTAACCATGCTTATCAACATCAATCCCACTTCACAGTCACTCAAACAATGCATTCAAATCAGCAAATCCCTTTAACATTCATTAAGCAAAAACAGTGAACCAAAAACATGCAAGATCAATCAACTCATTTGGTTTCAAGGGTTTATGGGTTAAGAGACAAAGAGGGTCTCTTTTGTATGGTGGTTTAGTAACAGGGATCTCTCAAGAAAGTGGCTTTGCTTTGGCAGAAGGCTAAGTGTTAGAACCAAAGATGATGCAAGAACAGCAGCTCGAGCCGCCTAATCCTAACTCGATCGAGTTCAACACTTAGAGCTTTTTAGAACAAAATCCTAACTACCCTTTTTGGCATTTCGCCTTTGAAACTGAGGAGCTTTGCTCACTTTTCTTTTAAGAACATCCTAGGGAGAGGCTTCTTGAGGTAACATCTAGCGGTTTGGGATTCTCT